ATCTCGTCGCATCATAGGGCTTGGGGCTGCACACTTTAAAGCCCCTACTGTTGATGATATAAATCTTGCATTACCTTTAAGGAGCCTAAACTATGGGAAGTATGGTGTATTCCTTATTATGGGTAATGCAGGATTTATATCATCAACCGTAACTTTGGAGTTAGGGTTAGGGGACCCTTGGCGATATCAGGTCCCTTTTAAGAGAGCCATAAGTACGGTTCAGAAGCGTCCCCTTGAAGGGGTCTCCCTAATACTACCTAGGATGACTTCCCTACTTAGACGCTCCAACACGCCAAAACCGTAAGCCTGAGCCCATGAAAGTGAAACCATTGAGATCAGCATCCCTCTACTCTACAGGAAGCGCCACGCGCTCGCTCCATGAATCCTAAAACCCAAACGCACCTTACTATCAGCCTTTTCACCAGCACTCGTTGCACGATTTGAAGAAACACTGAGAAAAAAAGAGGGGTCCTTGGCTCCTCTTGCCGCCTTCCGGAAATGAACCCCCATCCATTGAACAGGGGCTAGCCATGAGCTCCAGAGCCGCTGATCACAGCTGTGGGCCCAGGAGCCGAAAAGACACGAATTCAGCGAGTCACGCCGTGCACCTGTGCGTCCTATGAGGCTGCGCTTCTATCGTCGGGTCACGAACCCCAAAAGAGTACCCTTTCCAGGAATAAAAAAAAACATGCAGGCTGAGGGGTACTTCTTTTAGCCCTGACACAAGCAGATCGTCAATCCTCAGACGCAATAATCGAAGGTGTGGGTTTTGGGTTCAAGGTTCGCAGGCTGCCTCGTCTCCAAACCCTTAACTCGAAACCCTGTCGTTGGGACTTGCAAAGAGGCGTAGAGCTCTGTCCCCAAGCCTTTCACAATGAACCGTAAACCCTAAACCCTAAACCTTAAATTAGGTCATCGAAGGAGGCGCATCCCCTCTGGCTGCCACAGGCAATCTCGTCGGCGACTCCCTGGCTCCAGCAATCCGAGTCCCTGCAACTGTCACCGCTCCAAGCTCAAAACCCTAAACCCTCAAAACCTAAGCCCTAAACCCTCAAAACCTAAACCCGAAACCCGCAAACCCCGGAAGCCTGGACCCAAAGCGCAAACCCCCCAACTCTGGCTCGCCTTTTGCTGTCTTTAGAGACTTCATCGGACATCTGACTGCTGCCCCTGTGAGAGTCGCCGACTGCTTTTGACCCGCAAGGCTACACTTTGCCTCAGACACGAGTTTAAGGCTTCGGGCTTAGGGTTTAGGGTTTTAAGGTTTAGGGTTTAGGGTTTTACGGTTTAGGGTTTTGGGTTTTAAGGTTTAGGGTTTAAGGTTTTAGGTTTAGGGTTTTAAGGTTTAGGGTTTAGGGCTTTTAAGGTTTAGGGCTTAGGGTAGAGGGATAAAGGTTTAGGGTTTAGGGTGTAAGGCTTAGGGATTGGAGTTTAGGGGAAGGTTGCTACATGATGCTCAAGGCGCACCAAACTTGCGCCAAAACCCCACTGCTAACAGGGTCGTCGGCCCAAAAAATTCTACAAGTCCCGGCAGAAAGAGTACGCAGGAGTTTGAGGCTCGTTTTGCTATGCTTCCTATGGGCCTAGGCGGCCTCAGAAGGGCGGTGGGTTACCGGCGTTCCCTTCAGAGATCAAGGCCAAGACTGGAAACCCCAAAACCGAAACCCGAGAATCCCTCGACCCTCAACCCTAAACCCTCCTGAACCCTAAAACCCAAAGCCCCTAAACCCTCAACCATCAACCCTAAACCCTAACCCTAAAGGGTTTAGGGTTTAGGTTCCCCTTTAGGTCTGCCATTGGTTTAAGGTTTTCGGTTTTCGGTGATCAAGAACCTGGCTTCGTGCCAGGAAACTTGTCTTAACTTGCCATATCCCTAAACCCTCAACCCTAAACCCTAAACCCCTAGACCCTAAACCATAACAGGTGCATGTGAGAAATAAGACGTTGCCCTTACTACGGAACTAGAGCCAGACAGAACGGGAGAGCTATTCCCAGAGAACCCAATACCCCCTAATTAAGGAATATAGCTTAAATTATAGGGGCTTTGATATTATTATGATTTAAGGTATATTCCTTAATTAAGGGGTATTGGGTTCTCTGGGTTTATACAAAGGAAGTTAGAGCTCACACTGCAAGTAGCTGACTCCCCTGTGCCATTGAGGGCTGCCAGGCACTAGCCCACACTCAGAAGAATGCCTCGGGTTGGGCGCTCCGGCTGTCTGCAACTACAACCACAGAGGGCTGTACCAACTGAGAATTTGACTCCGGGCTTAGGTTAGGTTTGAATTCAGAGAGAATCACTTTCAGGCTTTCATATGTAGCTCGTGCTAGTCGGGACTCTCAAAAACCCCTCCAATCAGCCGTTCCGCACCTGTGCAAAGCAGCGCGAAGACTGTGCATCAGATGCGGGGATCAGTACTTCCAAGTGACGTTGCGCACATTGGTTCACATCCGCTTGGGGTTTATTTAGGATCCAGGGCGGATTTAGGCTGAGCCATATACACGACCGCTAGTCGCTATCCGCTATCAGCCCCGGCAGCTAGTGCTCAACGAGGACCTAGGCACAGAGAGGCTGACTGCCAACAAGGCCGTGGTCACCACCTTCGAAGTCGCGTCATCGGCAGCATCGTTCAACCCGCCGCTTGTGCTGGTGGTGGTGACAACTGTCGCCGTCTTGCCGGTGACCTGCTTCAGCTTCCAGCTTTCAGTCTACCCCCCCCCTCAAAAAAAAATAAAGGGATAAGACAAAGCTAGCACCCGAAATCCCAACTCCACACACGAAGGGATCTGCTCCCCGAAAGGACAGGATCGACCCGGGAGGCCCGACCTCCACCGTGCCGGTGTAGCCCACGTCCGCGACCGCCTATGGGAGTTAGGAGTTGGGGGGACCCTTGGGGATATAGACCTTCTTGACAAGGTCCCTTTTAAGAGAACCACAAGTAGGGCTCAGAAGGGTCCCCTTTGTACTACCTAGGACGCCTGGGCGATGGCCGTGTTGGTGTCGGTCACGGAGACCTGCTCGATCGCGGCCTTCGTTTCCTGTGGCAAGTAAGAGTTTCCTAGGAAAACAAGCGGAAATGAATCTGAAACCCTGAACCTTTGACAGCAAATAAAACCTAAGCCCTAAGCCTAAGCCGTGTAGTTTTCGTGTTGAGGGTTAGTACAGGACCCCTCTATCGGAATCTCCCTCGTAACTAAGGCAGACACCCTCAGATCAGACGAAGTCTCTGCATCCGCGATGTCATTGGCTCTAGGGGTTTAGGTTTAGGCTTCAGAACTCGCCAGACCCACTCTGAACTACACTAACCCCCACAAGTTTTGCAGAGTTTACCCCGAAACAGTAGAGTCATAGACAACAGTCGATTCTGGTCTCTGACCGCGGGTTGTAGGGCCTCTCTCTTTTCCCCAAGAAAGGGGTTTAGGGTTTAGGGTTTAGGGAAAGCCCCCTGGTTTTTGAAGCATTCACTCCTCGGCTGCTTCCGCGCTGGGGAGGGTCACCTTGAAGATGGCCACGAGCGTGGTAGAGAGCCTCCTTGCGCCGAGGCGTCGCGATGCGTTGACCTCCACAAACTCCACCGTCACCTGCGACGGATCCACTCCCATTGCGCTCGCAAAGCCGTCAACCATGGCATCCTTCAACGTCTCATTCTCGGTAATCACGGTGGGGTCGTCCACCGTGAGCTCAACGGAAACTTCAACGACAGTGGGGACCGGTGCCATCGTGGTTGTGGTCTCGTCGGTCGGGTCGGTCGTGTCGGCGGCGGAGGTGACGGTGCCAGTGGTGGTGGCCGTTGAGGTGTCTGTCACCGTCACCGTGGCCGTAACCGTTTCCGTGGAGGTGTCCGTGGCCGTGGAGGTGTCCGTGGCTGTCATTGTGTCCGTAAGCGTGGTGGTGGCGGTGGCCGTAACCGTGGTGGTTGCCGTGACGGTGGCGGTGGTGGTCACAGTGGTGGTCGGATACACTGGATCAAATGTAACCACATATGCTTGGCCGGATGCCCCACCCGAGAACGCGCCCATCGACCCATCCGCCGTCAGCGATGCAGACTGACAGCCATCCAGTTGGATCTCGACGCTGGGGTCCGTCCCCCAAGTGGTCCTCGGCTCGTCTCGCGCTTCTCGATAGTTAATCCCTCCCGAATATGCAACCCTCATCCCACCTCAATGTTGAGAGACAGCCGCATCATCTTTAACTTCAGCATTGTTTTGAGAATCATGCATGCGGAGGAAGGCGAGGAGTCAGTGTATGGTCTTGTGGCCCCAATATTCGGATCCCACTTTTGTCCCTATAAAGGGCCGGGCTTTACATTGACCAGGGGTCTACAAACCTGAAACTCTGAGAAATTGGGTTTAGGGTTTAGGGTTTAGGCCACCGTGAAAGTGAGTGCTCAAAGCAACACCCTTCCCATAGCAACATGCAGTCGGCACAAAGGTCCGACTTCCCGCAGAGCGTCCCACCATCGCCACTGAGCCATGCATACCTGGGTTCTTGTTAGGGGATTCAAGTTAAGTTACCATAAAGAAACCATATTATTTTCTGTAGACCCCCATTATGGTAACTTAAATAAAGTCCTTTAACAAGAGCCCAGATACTTGAAGCTGCTCGACTGCAAGTTGCAACAAACGAACATCTTGGAGCCGTCGTCAGACACCGCTGCTGAATTACACCCGTACTGCCCGGAACTGCCAAGTTGGACCTTGGGGTGCTTGGAGGTTCATGGGTAGTTATAAGTATGGTTATAGGTCCCCTACTGTGGGTGATAACTATAGTTATCTTACTTATAACCCCACTTATAACTACCCATGAATCTCCAAGTGGGGACTTCGTAAATGAAAGGGGGAGGAGGGTCCTATCTTGAACTCAGACCCTTCATGTTGTTGGCCCCTGGGTTTCTGGGTATCCGCCTCGGTCCACGTAGCGCCCATGTCGGAGCTCACCCACGGCATGCCACTCTTCACCTCAAGGGTGCGAGGAAGACTTCCGGCACACTCGCTCACGTGATGCGTGGGCTGCTGGGCCCATTCTCAAACGAGGTCCCTGTCTGAGCTGCTACAACTAAACTATCTGCATGGCATGGTGCCCTTCAAAATATGGGTGGTTTCCGAAAAGAAGGGACCCTAATAAAGTACCCTACACAGTAGGATCCTTATTATAAGGACCCCAAAGTGAGGTACCCCTTATGAACGGAAAATCCCATATGCAGCAAGGGGATGCAGGGAAGAACGTCGTAAGCATGACCTGATTGTTGAGGGTCTCTCTCGCCAAGTCGCAACAAGGACCTGAATCATGCCATCCTGGGTTCTTGTTACAGGGTCTTAATAGAGTTACATAAGTTAAGGAAACCATACTATTTACTATAGATCCCGATTGGGGCAACTTAAGCAGATTCCTTAACAAGAACCCAAGATCGGCCGACAGGGCAATGTCACCATTTTGGCTTCCCGAATTTGGGGCCGTCGACTCCACCCAGGTCGCGCCAGAATCCGCGCTGGTGTACACGCCTCCACTACATGGGTAGCTTATAATCTATAACATACTATAATGTTACTATGCTGTACTATGCTATGCTATACTATACTATATCTAGATTATAACTATACTATACTATAACTAGATTATAACTATACTATAATATATTATCATGCAATATCATATAACAACATATGATATCATGCAAGATCGTATAAGATCATTTAGCTTAATGCCTTTGATGTTGGAAAGCCCAAGTGCCTCCATTCGAATATGAGCTGGAGAAGGGGGCCGTCGCCACAAGGTAGGAGCCAGTGGCTGTCCTGCTGGCAGCGACAAGTTTACAGATTTAAGGTGTAGGGCCAGTTTAGGGTTTAGGGCCAGTTTAGGGTTTAGGGTTTAGGGTTTAGGGCCAGTTTAGGGTCTAGGGTCTAGGGTTTAGGGTAATCAGCTTCCCCCCGACTCGCAACCGTTGTGCCAAGCCGCGAAGCCGCAGCCTCGCGATGCCGGTTTCCTCAACCCAATTCTGGCCACCGTCCGCGCTTGTTGAAATTTCGGCATCACTCGATGTCACGACGATGACGGAGCCATCATCCGACATTGCGGTAGCTGTCCACGCGCCACGCCTTCTTGGATATTTGTCAAACACTCTAGAAACAAACCAAGCAGCGATGAACCCTCTGAGAACGATGATGGGCATGGCAAGAACACACTAATCTCGAAACAGGAAGAAGGTGCGAGGAGATCTCCGTCCAATTCTCGCCGCCGTTGTCGCTGATCCAAAAGTTCGAAGAACGCGGAGCGGTTGAAATCTTAGACCCGTCAGCAGACATGGCCACACCCAGCCAGGGCTTGCTGCCGGGCTCGGTCCTCTCTGTCCAAGTTGCACCCGAGTCCATGCCTGGGTTCTTGTTAAGGGATGTAACTTAAGTTACCACCATAGGGATCCATAGTAACTAATATGGTTTCCTTAGTATGGTAACTTAAACTAAATCCTTTAACAAGATCCCAGATGCTGGTGTAAAGACTGCCGCCATCTAATCCGGCAACCATCTTGGTACCGTCGGAAGACATGGCAATGCGGCAATCGCTGCCTGCGCCGACAAGAACGGAGCTCATACCCCGAGCCAGGCCGAAGACGGACAGCAGCAGGAGAGGCAACATGTTCCCCGCGGCAAGCTGAGATGGTTCGGCTATGCTTGCAATGGGATGTTTCACTTTTGGGCCAAACTGCGATTGCAGCAATGGAAGCTTTGCAAAGTGCGATTATTCAGACATACCCTGGGCAAAACCGACAACTGATGGCAGCACGGGCAGCACGATTTTCCTGAATCTGTTACTCCGGGTCTTTTGGCCTACTGTGCAAACACCCTAAACCCTAAGCCCTAAACCCTAACCATTTCAAGGTGGATCTGCCTCTCTTGGTAGCCCTTTTCAGACCGCAGCACCAATGCAGGCAAGAAGGCATTCCCTTGGCAACAAGTTTGAATTGCAACTCGAAACAAACGGGCACCTGCGTCCTCTCTTCTAAATCGGATCGCAAACGGTACCCCAAAGAGCCTTTTCCACAGGAAATGGCCAACGAAGACTACATAATTTTTCTATGGACGGGTGGGGGCAGGCTTTTGGCTTTAGGGTGTAGAGTTTGTCTCGCTCTGCTTGGAGATTCAGGGGTAGTTATAAGTATGGCTATAAGTCCCCTAATATGGGTTTTAACTATAGTTACCGTACTTATAACCCCACTTATAACTACCCATGAACCTCCAAGTGGTTCCAATAATCAGAATCCCTGCGTCAGCCGCTGCTCCGAAGCTCAAAAATCTCGGCCTGAGGCGTTTGATGGCCTAGTGTTCGGGTTTGTTTCCAGGGTCTCGGTTTGAAGGTTTAGAGTCTAGAGTCTAGAGTTTAGTTACAGCGTTTTTAGGGTTTAGAGTTTAGGGCTTGGGGTTTATACGGTTTAGGGCTTAGGGTCTCGGGCCCAAGGGGTGTGGGATTAGGGCTCAGGGTTTCAGGCAAGGTTACACTTGGCTCGAAATCCAAAGTTGGTCGCGAAAGCGAAGCCTTTCTGATCCTGGAGTCCGAGATTCGGTGCTCCGGGGTTAGGGTTTAAAAAGTTAGGGTTTAGGGCTTAGGGTTTAGGGTTTGGGGCGATTCCTGTGCTTCCGGGCTCCAGTTTTTCTAGGCATCGGGAGATCGAACTTGGATCTGCACGCGACAACCTTTCCTGGCTCCTGAACACCGACGCTTCCCGTGATTCCATGACCCTGAACAAATAAGTTCCGGACCCGAAACCCAAACGCCTGAATGAACTCTAAGCCATTGATGCAGCGGGTAAGTGCACGGCAGCACTCCCCACTCCCCGCCAGCCGAAGCGAAAGGCGAAGCTGTCCGAGTGCTTCTGTCCACGGTTTTGCATTAAGTGTTGCAGTTCACTCAGGGCGCATAGTGTTTAGTGAGTTTGCAGGGTTCAGAGTTCAGGGCAGCAATTCTAGCTTGACGAGCCGTGCCGGTCACTGGAGAGATGCCTTTGGTTTCGGGATCACTCGCCAGGGCGATCTCATCTCACGCCATCTGTACATCACCGCAAATGGCCAGACAGAGTCCCCGTCCTGTACAGCGGGGAAGCTGAGCCAGGGCCATGGCCTGAGCACTGCGGCATCGTCGGCGCAGGCTCGGTCGCAAGAGGATGCCTTCACATCCTTTTGCGGCCATCTCTGCAAGTTTCAGAGAGCTTCAGTGCTTTAGCATGTCACTCATCTCGATGAAAAAGCTTGGCATGTCATTTTTGTCCAGCCTTGCATTCACCACCTGCAGGCCCTTTCCACGATATGACGACAGGGCATCGACGAACTGAGCTTCCGTGTGGGCATCCACACCGTTCGAATCGGGCCGACCACCCAATGCCTGGGGCAACAAGTGGTAGTTCCACACTTGGATGTCATTGTAAGAGTCGTCCCGGTCAGGATGGATGGCACGCTCTGCCGTGTAACCCGCATTGTTCAGAATGATCAGGAGGAAGTTCAGGTTGTGCCGCAGCAGTGTGCAGAGCTCCGAACCTGTCATTTGGAAGGATCCATCACCATCAAGGCACACAATGCGACGTTCGGGTGCGGCAAACGCCATGCCGATGGAAATTGGGAAAACGCTCCCCAGAGAGGCCCAGTTGGTGGGACCGACAGTGGTGTTACCTTTCTTCAAGCGCATTCTTGACATGTTGATGTAACCCCCTGTGTTGCCCGTGACGATGTCGCCCTCCTGGACAAAATGAGCCAGCTGGGGGTACATGAAGTCTACGGTCAGCGGACGGTTCTCCGGAACCTCCCTCTGCTTTGTGTAAGTAAACGGAAAAGTGTCCTCGAACACTTCTTCTGCACGAGGGCTGATTTTCTGGGCCAACAGTGGCACGAGGTGGCGCAAGTAGACACCGTGTACCTCCTCACCCATCACATTGGCCGTATCATGGCCGAGTTCAATCATACGCTCCTCCTTGAAGTCATGTGTAAGAAAGCCCAAGTTGAACTCGGTCCGTGGCATACCGAGAGTCAAGAGAATGTCGGCACCTTCCGTGGCATCCAGCACCGGCTGTGGAGTGACGCCTCCTTGGTAGAAGCCTACACAGTTCGGCAGGTGCTCTAGGTGGCCAGCCTTCTGGTCAAACGTCGTAGCAAACGGAAGCCTGCTCGCGGTCAGCATATCCTCCACGACTTGTTGAAGGCCATCCCGGTCGACGAACACCCCAACCAACACCCCCACCTTTCCTGCACTGTTCACAGCATGGGCCACCTGTTCCACCACCTTACGAAGGGCTTGCTCGTCGCTGCTCGGTGGTTGGTAGTTCAAGCGGCCTGGCACTTCGACTTCTGCCCTCTGCATGTCGAAAGGGATCTCCAGGTAGACTGGCCTTTGCTGATCAAGGGCAACCCGTAGCAGCCGGTCAACAGTGGGAATGGCCTCCTCTGCTGTTTCAATACGCGCCGCGGCAGCGGTGATTGGTGTGAACACACGGATAGTAGCATTCAAATCACTTCCGACTGCATGATGCAGAAGTAGCTTCTTGCCCTCTCGATATCTTTCTGTCTGCGGTGCCCCCGACACCAACAGCAGAGGGACGTGAGCATCAAAAGCCCCTGCCACGGCATTGACTGCATTGAAAGCACCGGGTCCGTAAGTCACAGCTGCAACTCCGAAGCCTTTCACGCGGCTGTACCCATCTGCGAGGTAGGCCGCATTCAGCTCGTTGCAGGTGCCGATCTGCTTCACTGGGCTTCCTTCCTTGATCAACTCGTCGAAAAAGGGCAACACATAGTCTCCTGGGATGCCAAAGACATGCTGGACTCCAAGCTCTTGGATGCGGGAAATGAGGAATGCCGACACTGAGATCTGCTGCGACATTGCTCTGAGGCTGGGTTCGAGCAGAAACAAAAACTAGAGGCAAAAGGCGCCGGAGGCTTGAGCCAAAAATTGCGGGCACATGCGTCGGCCCAAATTCTCGGATTCCCTGCCAGGAACAACTTTCCGAAGTGCAAAAGATATACATCCCACTGGCCTGCTGAGGAGTCATTGGGGGGAGGCTTCCGCCTGAGCTTTGAGAAGGCCAGCAGGCTCTCCTTCATGGTCAGCGCCTCGGCAGCATGCGGAACCCGGCTTTCCTCGTTTTAGTGATGGTGATGATCATCATCATCATCATCATCCTCATCGTGCTTAAAAGGATGAAGATGATGAGGATGACCAGGATGATCGTGATGCTCCTGCTCCTGTTCCCGTCCAACTCCTGCAACTCCTACTGCTGCTGCTGCTCCTCCTCATACTACCAACTACCCATACAACATACCACCTCCAATACGACGTGAATACGTCTGCATGATTTGTGCCTGAAGTTGTTCCTGTATGCTCCAGGAATTTGGGGGAGCTGCTTCTCTATGATTTCCAGATACCAAGAGTTTCACCGTTATTCGGGGTTCGGCGAGGGTCCCTCGGACTGGGCCCCTTTCTGGCTTAGGGTCTAGGGTGCTGTGGTCCTTCGCGTGGTTTGCTCCTACGCAAATTCGTGGCTTCCAAAGCAGACCCAGCTGGAATCGGCCCGTGGCCATGGAACCTGTTGCCTATCGGCCTATCGCACCATGTGCCAGGCTCGGCTGCGACCATGAGCAGTAGATTCCTCAGTAGATTGTCAATTCTAGCACCCTTCCGACACACAACCCCTAAACTTTAGGCCCTAAACCCTACATCCTGAAACCAAACCCCACAACGGAACACACGTGAAAGTTGCCCCCAGAACCCGCTCTCCACGGAGAGTTTGGGCTCGGGACCTTTGGCGATTGACAACTCTCGAGGTTTCCCTGTCCGAGGTCCCAGCCCAAATGCCCAAGGTTCGGCTGCGAACTTTCGTTCCGCGGTACTGGCCGATG